GGGGGGGGGGGGGGGTGGACCTGACCCTTTTTTTTTAATTTCAATATTTCGTAAAAATCTTCAAGGGATGATTTTTCTCGGCAAGGAACGAGGACGAGGAATGCTAAGGGAAGAAATCGGTATAGAGGGGGACACAGAGAGACGTAGAAGACCCACGGAACTAGACAGAGGTTAACAACAACCTACGAATTTGGTAGGTTATTAGATGGCGGCGCGGTTCCAACTCCCAAGAGCTCTGCAGGCTTTTTGTGCCCAGATTGGCGGTCATTATGCCCGAAATTGGGCCTTAATTGTGGCAGCAGTAATGAGTCAGGTTGCTCTAATGCATCACACCACCACACATAGTCTTAACCCTGGTGGGTTTCTTTCTTTTCTTTCTCCATATACTGGGTGTCCCCTGCCCGTCATTCATTTTTCCCGATGCTTCATCGATTTCCTTTTTATTCTCTCACCGGAAAGCGCCATTGGCTGCCGGCAGCGAAGGGAAGGCAAAAAGGAATGAAAAAAAAAAAAAAAAAAAAAAAAAAAAAAAAAAAAATACGTCGCCCAGTGCGACAGTGGACGCATTTTGCGGGCTGGAAAAAAGAAAGCTTTCTTTGTACCTGAAAAGCGCGTGGAATATCTCAATGGAAGTAAAGTTTTGCTCGCGATTAGCAAACACAATTACACCCACTCGAATTCGCGGAGACCCACCCTTTCCCCCCCCCTACCCTCCGCTCAGGGTCTCACCCATCACGGCAATCGGAAACCTGGCAACTTTTTGTCACTTTTTGCCAATTTCCCCGTGAATGGCTTCACGTTTCAATAGAATCTTCGAATTTCCTTACATCGCAGCGACACACGCTGTTCGCGTAATTTCTGACTAAAGGCGCGCTTCCAGGAAAAGGTATTCCTTAAGTAGTGGCCACCCCGTAGATCGAAGAATGGCGCCTCTCGAAGACTACTATGTGGCTACGTGGCGACGTAGCATTATTTAATTGCTGTTCCGTTGTTTTTTCGTCGCCAGATAATTTGTGTACCTGGCGGCGCGGCGGACTCTTCGTTTTCACCCTCCCGCCCCTTCTATTATACTCCCCTCAATTCCCTCTTCACTCATTCTCTCCATTATCTTTCGGCTCTCTCCCTCTCTCTCTCTCACTACTCTCTCCAATTTGTAGCGTCGAGGTATACGTTTACTCACTGCACGGCCAGGCTACTCCTAATTGCGCGTAATTACCTATGGAGGCCAATTAGCTTGGATTGGCCGAACGATCCGCGGCTAGCCTCGGGATTCCCTCTTTTTTCCTCCTTTTTTATCTTTCTTCCATATTTCTTTTTTTTTACCTACTTTGTCTCTCTATCTTTTCCTACTTCTCCTCTATACTTTGAAGTTCTGCTTCGGAAGCAGGTAAACCTCGGAGAAAGTCCTGAGAGTTAGGTCTCTCTAAATTGCAGAGAATTTTTTTCCTCCCGAATGAAGTAATCGTGGACATTGATCCCTGAAGAGTATAACGAGAAAGGGAATAGGGGATGGTGCACGGTATCCCGTAGGATAGATAAGGGATGCAAACCGTTTTTCCCGTATCGCGTCAATTTTATTCGCGATCTTCATTCCTCTTCCTTCTCCCGCAGGTGGGAACGCATAGGGTATCCTTCAGGAGAATCCTTGCAATAAAGAAGGAATCTCCCATTGTCCTGCACCCACGCCTTCACGTAGGAATACAGGGAGACAGCATGGATTTCGTGGAAGCCTAAGGGACCGAGGAGGGAGGGATTGGGGGGGAAAAGGTTCTGAGGGAAAGGAGGCTGATGTGGAAGGACCGCAGCAGCAGGACAATCCGTCATTAGTAAACAAATAGTTTAGCGAGAGACGGGGTCAGGCCTACATAAACTAAACAACAATAACCTCCAAGAAAAAGGAATACCGACCTTAGCATCCTCCAAACGATGGCACACCTGGCCTCATCCTGTAGGAGTACCAGTATACCTGTAATATTCTAGAATGAATGGCCCAGCGGCAGGGACGTAGAAATTTGCAAGTGGACCCTGCTCTCGTCTTAGAAATTCCTTAGGGATAAAAAATAATCATAGGAAATTTCACGCCACTACCGAACTGTCTGGAAATTCATTGGAAGATTGCTTCATTATCCATTGTCTTCCCTGTAAGTTCATTGTCAAAGACAACTAAACTACAGTTGCCATAACAGGAGGAAAGTCGAGTATAGTCTGGGAAAAAAATAATCTGCAACAATTTCGTTAAAATTTTCTTCAACCGACTTGAACATTTTTCTACGCAAGACGAGCAGCTATGTGGGCAAGGACTTTTCTTGAATTCAGGATCCGTCCCTGGCGTTAGGCCTGTAACCAAGTTAAATCGACATCTTCTCCACCTGAGCGAGACCGATCGGTTAAAGAATTTCTCGGATTCGTTCGTCAATACGAATGCGATTCGATTCATTCGGGACGAGAGACACTCGGTTATTTTGTAAGACGATGCTGGATCAATTGGATACCCGTAACCTGGCTGATAGTATTGGTGCTTAATTGTGTATCCGTAATGGAGAGATTTCTTTTCTATCTATCTAACATTCACCTCTGCTCTATGCGTGTATCATCTATTCCCAATCTTTCATATTTTTTTCTCCCTTTTCAAAAGTCATTCTCCTGACCAGTCTACTATTTCAGTACGCGGCATACAGTAGAATCTTGACTTTCGGGCGCACCTATCCACCGTTAAATAAAGGCTCAATCCCAGACACGTTCATCCTTTTCTTCGGCTGAATCGATATTCCGATGACAGTGACTGCTAGTTAACGTTAACGTCAGCGCCATCGTCCTCACAGTTGATATCGAGAATTCGAATGTTTCTCAAAAAAGATCCTCTTCCTAGGAACCCAGGAAACTAGGAATAGGCTTTGGAAATACGAGCGTGGAAATGTATATTATATACTACACGTTACAATACAAATCGGAGAAATCGCACGCACCAATGTCGTAAGCAATCTCTTGCCCAACGGCGCGGAATAGAGAAATTTCGCAGGACTGGATTTTCATCATAGCAAATAATGCACGTGATACGAGTATGCATAAGGTAACAAGAGCGTTTTTCTCGGATCAGTACGTTTTTATAATGATCCTTTTTTTAGCTATTAGTTACCGAGTGTGATAGATTTCGAAGCGTTGCTTTCGGTTTTAATCATAAACGAGATTAGAATGAATCACTCGCGTCCGACTTGACATTATGGAATATAAAAATCCTGACGAAGGGGGCAGCACACCCGTGTCTCAAGGAAGACCGGTCGTCCCTTTGTCCCAGGATCAACCCTGGGTCCTTGGTCCTTGGACCACGATCCTCGATTCTCGATCCTGGAGATTCTTGGTCCTCCTGAGGACTTTCGGGACCTCCCTCCTACTTCTTCGCTCCGAAGCACCCGAAGAGATTAGCATGACAATGTGCTCACCGGCCACTCATTATGACCGAGCTGATCTCCTCTCTCCGCCCCGCGTCCCTCGCCCCACCTGGCGGGAACCACGTCGCGAGACGACACGGGGCGACGCGACGCTTTGCCGACGTTGAAACAAAATTCCGAGCGGGGAAAAAAAATCTTTACGAGCGCGAGGACAATGAGGTGACACCTCTCTTGGATTGGACTGTGGAATTTTCTTAGCCCCTCTCTCTCTCTCTCTCTCTCTCGCTCTCTTCTTCTCATCTTCCTTCTTCTCCACCTCTTCTTCTTTATGTCTATTAGTCGCATCTCTACCTTGCTCTCTCTTTTTCCTTCTCCATCCCTTTAGCACAGAGTCCTCTCCACCCCTCTCGCAGGACTCAT